AAATGTTCTTTTTTTTATCGAAATCAATTTTTATTATAAAATTTACTTGACATCGTAACTAATTCAAAAAGATTTGAGATCAAAAGAAAAAAGAATCCACAAAATCTAATTCCAAAGGAAAAAGAATTCGAAAATTTGCGAAACATCAATAAATAAATCCTGCAGGTGGAAATAAATAAAATAAAATACTTTCAATTATTTGATAAAAAGGGAACAATAAATAATATTATAAAATCCTAAAAAAGTCGAAATATTATTATGAAATTCATGAAAGTAGCTTCATTAAATAATAAATAGAAGGAAAGCGAGTTTGATTTTATTATCTTACTCTATTTAAAATGCAATTTGTTGAAAAATTTATCAAATGGTGTGTACTGATTCTTTAAATGCAGACTTAACTGATTGCAGTAAATTTAGATGACAGTTACACCATTTAATTAAAATACGGAAGGAAGAGATTGCATTCTCCAAAACTGAATTGCAGTAATAAATATTAATTAACATCACCTACCGGTGTTAGAATATCCCTCAATTGAAATTTCGAATCTTGAATCTTCCCTTCGAGAGAAAGAAAAACACGACACAATATCCAAAAGAATAATCCTAATTGCGAAATATTCGCTTCGAATGTCATTTTAATAAATTAAAAACGGAGCGAAATTGTTATCTCTTTTAACTCACAAATCAAACTAACATTATTTGATCTTGCTGTTCGGAGAGTAACGAGATGAGGAGAGAAGATTGTTCCAATTATTTTATAAAATTTTTTGTGCTGCCATCTATATGATTAAGAATAAACTAAAACAAAATACAAAAAGCACTCATGAAAAAGAGGATTTCTCCCATTATTTTATAAAGTTCCTTGTGCTGCTACCTATATAATTTTGAATGAACTAAAACAAGATATCATAAGTCACTAGTGCGGAATGTAAAGTCTCCAGGTTTTACAATTGTAAAAAAAAAAAAAATAATAACAAAAGCATATCTATTAAAGTATGCATGGTGTTTATTTTTTTTGAAGTTTTATTTACATTGTAAAAGAATATTAATGCATTTTTTTACTGTCAAAATATTATTTTTTACAAAAGGATACCCTCTAACAGATAGCGGAACAGCAAAGTTTATGATTTAGTATTTTAATCTTGAAGGAGTAATTTAGATTTAAAATGGTATAATTTACTCAACACTCGTGCAATTTACGATCTTTACAACTGATTTTTCTTGTTTTCTCACGTGGTACTTAAATCAAGCAGTATTTCTAAGTCTCCTTTGGCAACAAGTATTAACTATTTTGTGACCAATCACGAAGCAAGCTCCCTTTCCCTCTTTTTTTTTTTTTTTTTTTTTTTTTTTTTTTTTTTTTTGTAAATGGCAGATATTTTATGATTGAAAGAAATTGATATAAGGAAGATTTGTAATAACATCTAATATCTTTCTTAAAGATCCAAATATTTTACGTAAATTTTACACTGATGAGCAAAATTACACGAATATCTATCATTATAAAAAACGGCGAGAAATAGAGCTGCACTTTATTGACCCTTTTAAACCACGGTAACATAAGGTTAGCATCATTTTTTCAGCACAGGCATTGTGTTATTAAAAAAAGTTTTAATTAACTGATTTTAAAAACAGCTGGATAAACATTAAATCTAGTTAGTCACTTAAAATTTAATTTCGCGTGCATTATTTACATAAAATAACTGCTATATTTAATAGTCTAATAATTCTTGTAAAACCTAAGATAAAATAATAACACTCACACGAAAAAATTTACTAAAATACCAGCCTCCAATGGTAACCAAGTCGAATGCACTGTGCAACGGTATTTAAATATTCTGATTATTCAACCTCTCTTCTAATCCTAAGACCTTAAATAGTTTCAAACAGTTTATTAACCTATATTTTTCCCCATCGAGCTGCTGCCCGCGGCTTTGGTACTTTCACTTCAATTTAAACTATTTTCAAGGGATGTCCGTGATATTGTCAAAATTCCTTATGTATTGAATTATAATAATAATTTAAAATCTGGCCGACAGTCATTAAATCACACAAACAACAGTAAGCATGAGTTCAAAAAGGGCAAGCTCCGTCACCAATAATTGGTATGACAATATGCGGCAAATCAGGGTAAAACCTATTTTGCCTTTTTGCATTTTACCCTATTTTGCATTTTACCCTATTTTGCCTTTCTCGGCTACTGTGGATTTTCTTGTTCTATTTTTTGTTTTTGTCTCTCTCGGCTACTGGGGTTTTTCTAGTTTTGTTTCTCACCTTTTTTCCCATATTTCGTTGGCAACTTTACATTTTATATTTCAAATCACTTTTGTTTCTTCTCATGCCTGGCATGTCTTGGTAATGGGGGGGGGGTGTTTTTAAGCACTTGAAGCATGTCGACTGTTATTTCAAATTTGTATATTTTTGAAGCGAAAGAAATTTTTAATCAAGTAACAACTCTAGTGTTGCTAGTTGATTGAGAAATACCTGAATTTATGGTGACGCATAAGATAAATATATTTTAAAGTTGAAGTGTAGTGAATAACATCTTAGTTTACTTCATTTATTCAATGTCAAACAATAAATTATCTTTTCATTAATATAATCATTTTGTCTAGGTCAGAAGCAATTTACAAATAAAATTAATATAGCTTAATAATGCCTTCATAGAGCAAAAATAAAAAGAAAAAAAGGAAAATTCTAAAAATTACATTTTTTACTTTGCTTTAGCGTTATAAACTTTTATCGGCCCCAAAAATTCTTTCGTCTAATGAAAGAGATGAGCCCTACGTCTTTCGTTTTTGGTCTGAAAAAACTAAAATTATTTTTCTCCTTAATATTTAATTTAGAAAAACACAGTTTTATATATATAATATATAACATATTTTGTAGAAATCTGAGAGCGTTTTAAGCATGCTATTGAAATCTATTATAAACATTTACTAAAATTAAGGTGACCAAACGCGTTTTCAAAAACTTTCAATATTTTTGAGTTTTTGAGGACAGGAAACGTGATCAAATTTTAGCACATGTCCTCAAATTACACCGGAAACATCTCATTTTTTTTAAATGCAAGGAAATATTAAAAATTCAGAAATGCGCATGAGTTTTTTTAATCACGAGGATTTTATCTTACAGAGAATACAAGCGAAAAGCAAAACAGCACCATGTTAAAACTATCTGATCGTCTGAAAATAATTTTAGAAAACAAATTAAACGAGCTTCAATAATCACGTGCTCATTTATTTTACATGTGTTGAACAACTGCAGAATATCACATGATGAGTCAAAACTGCTTGGTAATGAAATCAAGTTTGATGAAGATGGTTCTGTACCTGATATTAGTTATCAATTAAAACAAATATTTACTGCACATATCAATTAATATCTTTCACAAATATATTTTCTCAAATCGTAAAATATTTCTTAGGATGCTGCACTGATTCGTCCTCAAATCATGGTTAATAAATCTGGTCAACTTAGCTAAAATTAATTTGTTCTGATTCCTAACCTCCAAGCAATTGCGGTTTCAACGAAAGAAAATATTAAAGTATTTTTTATTAAATATGGCATCAGTAATCTCACCAATCGTAGTATCATTTCATTAATTTCAAAGGATTCTATTTTACGTCTATTTATCATCCGTATGTAATGAATTTATGGTGAAATTGTTTATTCTTTCTAAGAAATGTGATTCTTTTGTCACGATTACATTTAATTTGTGAAACATCTTGAATTAGAGAAGTTTAATATTTACTTTTAAGGTAAGGTGAAAAAAAACTTAATCAAATATTGTTGATAAAATTATTATTTTTACGAAGATGTAACGAGGATTTTTTTAAAAAACTAATATTAATTCAAATTTCTCTGTCTTGTTTTTGAATAATTCACTATATGATTGCTTTGAATATTTTTTTCAATATTTAAATAAATTATTTAAATAAAATCAATTTCTAAATTAAACAATACAATTTATCTAAAATGATAATTCTAAATGTGTAATACATGTTAAGAAAGTGAAAATTTAAATTCTGGACAGTACTTGTATAATTGGCGTAATTTACTCTTTTTATCAAATTCGTAAGAAACCAAATGTAATGAATGTATGTTGACAAAATTTCTATATAGTTTAACAGAGAACTTTCAAGATAGTTTAGTAGTTATATAGTTATAGTTTCTTAAATGGACGCTTTAAAATATATTTTTAAACCTCTTTTATATTAGTTATTATCATTCGAAACATATATATGACCAATATACGGTAGTAGTTAGTACCACAGGCTGAATATAATTTACTTTTTTAGATCCTAACGATCATAAGAATTTTTTTATTTATTGTTTTTCGATTATTATACATGTTTCCTTGTCCTTTCTTCGGAGATAAAATTAATACACTTCGACAAAAACATTAATATTGTGACACTCCTGCTTTGGTGCAAATAAAATTAACAGTAAGCTTTGTGGATATTTTGATTTCCCCATGTCGAAGTTGTTACTGAGTTTGAAATATTTCGTGCATAATCTGATCAGAAAACGATACATTGCGAATTCTAGAAAAATAAAAATAAAAAGTCCCTTTAAAAGCAAGCAGCTTAGGATTTCTGAAAAAAGCAACCGACATCAGTTGCAATGAAGTACAACTGAGGTGATAACGAACGGGAAATATATAAAACCATTTGACCTTTTGCTCAACACTAGAAACTTTAAAGCCATACTCTTCAAAAACAGGTGGTCAAATTGGAAATTAATGCAGTTTGTAACAAATCAAATGAAAATGTGTGAAAACTTACTGTGAGAATTTTTTGAAAAACAAAGTGAACTTTAAATGTAAACATTTCGGCCAACTGTATGTAGTGCAAGGATTAAACTTCTTAGATATCCGTTATAAGCCGCGATGCCACAGGATCAAGGCACTGAGCTGCCAATGTAAAAGATCAGGATTCTGGAGATAAAGGATCCGGGGGGGACGAACTCCCACCCTTTTTTTGAGCGAAAGTTATCAACAAGTCAAGGAAGCAAAGGCAGACCGTTTGCAATGCTCCAAATTGCCACCATTATGCCGTTGGTCTCATCTCGGAATTGTTGACCCCCCCCCCCCCCTTAGACTAACTACTGGCTGTTGCAAAAGTGCGTTTTAATAAGGTAACGCATTTTAATAATTTCTTTGAGATATCAGCATGAACATATTTGAATATTTAATTGACACGTAAGTATCATATTGGTCTGGAAATATAGGAATTATTTAATGTTTTAACATGTAATTAAAAATAAATATTTCAGATTTTATAAAATGGGAAGTCCAAAGAAGAGTAGTGAAGTCCTACACAAATACGGACGAGACTACCTTTTACAACTAAGAATGCATCCGTTATCACTTCAGAAACCACAGAACTTGCCAATCATGGAAATCGTCAAAGACCGAGTAAGTTGGTGGTTTATCTATGCATCTTTTGTGTTTTAATTTTTGCAACATTATCGATAGACTATCGGCTAAATAAGCTGAGCTGAATAAATCCGTCAAGAAATAAAACAATATTTCCGGATAAATGACATCATACATAAGCAATATTTCACGATAACTTTTCCTAAATTAGCACTATTTTCATCACGCGTAAAGAATGGAGTAATAAGTGGAGAATTAGTTACTAATATTGGATTCAGTCCATCTTGTCATGCATCGAGATATTTTAGGGTTACCGTTTGAACGAATTTAAAAACATTGGCAAAAGTTAATCAATTTGGGTGATGCCTTTATATTATAATGTGATTAAACTTTAAAATGAAATAATGATTATTAAAATGGTAAAAAAAATATACTTAATATATAATTGACTTTAAGATCCAAATGAACTTATACCACTTTCAATAATAACGTTTTAGAAAAAATAAAAATAAGAGGAAAGTTAAGTCCGCATTTTTATGTGCTTTGACTTTACAGAAATGGATTTTTTAATGTAAATAATAATAGTTAAAAGTAACCATGAAACGGCATGAATACTTAATTTTATTAATAATAACAATTACGAATTCATGATAAATAGACGGTATGTATAAGCAGGGCCCGACTTAGCCTAATTGGGGCCAGGGGTAAAAACTTCTTTTGGTGCCCCTTCTACTTTACTACTTCAGTAATGAAGAGCCGAACTTTATGGAGGTATTTTAATTTTAATTAATAATGGCGGTATTTTAATTAATTAATTGACTAATTTTTTGACGGCTGATATTAGCTAATCTTTTGAGGACGAATAATTGACGACTTTTAATTAATTGGCGGTATTTAAATTAATAATGTAGAAATACAGGCATTTCATTGGCAAAATTTGCCCATCCTAATTGCGAAAATTTAGCCGAAATTCACCCTAGAAAGTCATGGATTTACGAAATATGGATTTTTTGTGTTCATACGATAGATTAATGAAGAAGCGAACATAAAGCTTACGAATTTTACACAGTACCGATATTTTGTTTAAAAAAAGTTCAATAAAGAAGAAAACGTAAAATAAACTTCCTATCCGATTTGGAGGCCCCCTCTGATGTTGGAGCCCGGGGCAACTGCCCCGTATGCCCCTGCCTTAGTCGCGCTCTGTATGTAAGGCAATAAACTCATCGTATTACGTTACACACAGTGGCAACATAGTAATCTTGCTGAGATCTTTTAATTTGTCTTTTTTTGATTATTTGCTTTGATGACAATTATCGTATTTGAATAATACGCACGCTCGCTGCGATTGATTGATATAGGAAGCACAAACCAAACAGTAGGACTTGCGAAAGAATGCTCAACAAAATCAGGTAAATTCTTTTGAAAAATCAATTGGCGCGAAAGATAGCATACTTGCATTGGCGCTTATTCTCAGATAGAGTTGCCTAACGAGCGATTACTTCCCAGGCGTGCAGTAGTTTGAGAAAACAAATAAAAAGTCGTTTTTAACTTACATTTTTCGAAATAACGGCTCACTTATTTGTAAGGAATTTGGTTACAAATCAATGCTTTTAAGCATCGATGCTTTGCAACTTAATGCAGAACGTTGCAACTGATAGCAAAATCTTCGTAATGGCCATTAACTACACAAAGTTAAACCAGTATTTAGCCCCAAAAATTAAGAATTTATATGTTGTGGCGAATAACATAAGCTTTAAATCCAATCACCACTGTTAATCTTATAATTTTCACTATTTCCGTACCATAAAAGGTATTTCCGTATTATCATGTGATCATTTTTGCCGACTGAATTTGAAAATAAATTTGGATGTGTGATGTCTATTTATTTACACAGAAAGTTATAAGATATTCTTTCATCAAAAAAAAAAAAAAAAAAAATAAAANAAATTAAAAAAAAAATTATTTAAGTGATTTGGCGAATTAAGTGTAAGTATTGGCGTTTAAGCACACATATTTTAAAGCCATTAAAGTTCATCTTGCTGACCTCACTACTTTTCATATTGTAAAGTAACTGATATCAAACAATTACAAAGTAATTTTTTATCAATAACCCGGACCATTGCTTAGCCATACAATGGAAAGTTAATTGAGAAATTTTTAAAAAATTAATTGCTAGATTTATCATGAAATATAATAGTACCAGTAATATTAAAATTACTAGTAATATTAATTCAGCTAATTAAATAACTGGTTTCTTTCTAGCTATATTTACATCAAATAGATAGCATGGCTTCGCCAGGTGGAGACGAATCTCAGTACCACCATTATACAGACGACATGTATGCGTTTATGAAACATGATAATGCATATGTAAGTCATTACATCTTTATTATCACGTGCACTATTATGCCTATATGTGGCATATAACTTTTAAAATAACTTGTTTTCGGTGAATTTTATTTATTGTAGGTGTTTAAACTTATGTTTGTCTAGAACGAGCAAAAGAATATGGAATTTGGCAACTGTTATTTGTTATTTAACGAACGCCATTCAATATTTTGTCAACCGTACTATTTTATATTACAGTGAAACATCCAGGAAAGACCACCTCTATGTGGCGACCACCTCTATGTGGCGACCACCTCTATTTGTGACCATTTTTGGGAGGCAGGGAATTTTTACCATAGACTTTGTGTTGAAGAAAACCTTTAGGAGAGACCATCAAAACCTCTCCCAGCGGCCGGGCGAACATCTGCTCCAAATGCGGAAAAGGTCAAATATGGAAACACGAAAAAATACCAAAACAAAAAATTTAACGAAACAAATAAGTAGATTAAAATCTATTCAAAATATTTGTGTGAGACTCTAATTTCGAGAGTTCTTTTTGACGATACAACCTCATGTTGCAATCAGAGTGCATTATAGACGATGCTATCCATGATTTACTTTTAGAGTTGAAAGTTAAATTAGAAAGAAAGAAGTTATTTTGGAAAGAAAAAAAGCATCTCAAACAAACCTCTTCTCATATTTTAAAGCTAACTAATTTTTATACATGATATAATATTATATAATATAAAATTAATTGCAAATCTAAACGAAAAACATAATTGTTTATTTATTTAAAAATAGCTTATCATTCATAACTGGTAAATTTGTTTCTACACATTATTATATCAGTTAAGATCATTTTTTAAGACGCTAAATTTTATTCTTAGATCCGTCTTTTCATGACGCCAACAGAGGTGGCATTTCCGCCCAAGAAAATGAAACTGACTAAAAATAAGAACGCATGCGAAAAATCATGTACCTTTGACAACAATTTTGAAGTCAATGGAGGTAACCTCTAAGAACGAACAACCTCCACTAACGACCATTTGACTGTGGAGCAGAGAGTCGTCGTTCTTGAGAGGTTTCGCTGTATTTCTTTTACCAAAGGATATTTAGTAAAGTTTAAGAGCAATAAAGGATTGACTTTTGGTGATTAAAAGTGTGGCTGTTATAAAGCAATAATTTTATGCAAGAATAGAATAATTCTAAGCAAACATAGATGATGTAACAATTTTTGACTAATCTGCAAAGCCATGTTTGGTTTGAAAAAAGAAATGGCAAAAATAAACAAATAAAAAAAGTATTATTTCCGAATAATACTTTATTTGAGTTATACACTTAATGGTATTTCTTCACTCCGTTTTTACATCTTTAATTTGAATGTAACTTTGATTGCTTATGTTTAAAATTGTTCATCCATCAGATTAAAGTTCTTAAGATCTTCAAATTTTTTTGCAGAAGCGTTTTAGCCAACGTTCTTCTCCAGGATACACTTCTCGGAGCTGCCCCGAATATGCATCATACCCAAAAGTAAACAAAATTAATCTTTATGAAAGTTTTATTTCATTTATATTTGTTGTTAAATATTATGTTTTAATGAATAGAGTGTTTTAATATCTTTTGAAGTATTTTAAAAATAAGTTTTGATACAACTTTTTAACTAACAATGCCTGTTTTATGTACATGCATATACAATCTATACAAGAAAAAACAATTTCGGAGTAAAAAAGAAATTTTCAATACGATAAAACTGATTTTTACTGTCAAGAATTGTTTCAAAGATTTTGTTGCATTAATTCTCGTGATTTAGCCTTAACCGACTGTCACATATTTCTCTTTTTCAAAACTTTTTTAATTGAATTGCTGTGGACAAGAAGATTATAGAGCATTAGTTTGTTTTTTTTTAACAATTTTTATTTCATTATTTTTTTTAGCTTACCTCTAGTTTTTTACTTGTAACTGATAAGTATTCGGTAACTTAAAAGGATCTTTGTCGGCTTAAAGTCGTTCCCTTATTAAGTAGACGTCAAGAAAATTTATTGTAAAATCTATATATGTCCTTCAAGAGTTTTGTTTACATCAAAAAGTAGCTATTTTTCGGCAACCATGTTACTCAGGGGGTATATGGTGATAAGCCACAATTTTTTCAAAGGTGAAATTTTTACGTAAACTGTTCTTTAATATGATTTCCAGATAGGTACTTAACACTGATGATACACTTGTGATGAATACATTTTGTTGCCTGAATAGAAATATTTTGTTTTCACTAGAAAATACTCTCCTAAACAATTTGAAATATGTGATTTATCATTATATTGTCCCGATCCCTTCAATTATATCAAACACCAGAAATTAAACAGCTAGAAAACTATTTAGCTTTTAAGGCATTAATGTAGTAGGCGATTCACTACTACTCGAGTTAATTCTTAGATTTCGCCATTGAAAAATCATTTGTGGTTTTTCAGTTGTGTTTTGTTCATGTTAATTATTCTTAATCTCATGCTCGAATAAGAAAACTTAATGGAATTAAAAAATCTTGAATAAATTTTCAATTATTCGGTTCTACGTTAAAAATACATTAATTAACTTATTTTGTCAGTTGAAACTTATAAAAAAAAATTTTTCACACTTATTTCAATTTCTGTTAACTGAATTGATGAAATTTTTTAAAAACGTATGTAAATTCAATTTTCAAGGAATTGAAAGTATAATTGATATGAAAATTTGATAAAATTTCAAATTAAGTGAATTAACTCAATTTATTCTTATCAGTTTAATAATTCGTTCTTTTTTTCTAATTTGAGTACAGTTAAACTCGTTTATAACGAGCCCTGAACGACGAAATCGGAAATACTTTGATCGTACCTACTATGTAAAGTCTATTGTAGCATAGCTCGCTTTTAATGAGTAAACCCTAATTTTAGCGAGCAATGTTTTAGTGATTCCTAAAATCTCTGAAGTCCATCTCTCCAGCTCAGCTAATTCCTTCGCGGTAAAAACATATAAAAAAATTTCAAAAAAAAAAAATTTTTTTTTCCTTTTATATTTTTTCGTCTTGACGAAATCGGATTATGTTTTTCCAGCAATGAGTCTTTTCCGAAAAACAATAGCATGACCTATAAGAGATGGTGGATTGATAATAGTCAAGTGATGTAGTTCAGCTTCTGACTTGACATTTATTGGATGTTTTAAAGACTTTAAAACATTCAATAAATCGATTGACATATTTTAATTTTTGGAACTTATGCTCATTTTTTAATGCATATATATATATTTTTAATTTGAGAGCTATAATCGATATTTTATTTTAACTAGAGATTAAGTGAAATTTTAGTAACGGAAAAAAAATACGAATGCTTGAAGTTAAAAAATAAGTATTTAGAATTGAATAGTCGTTGTCATTATATCACTTTGTGGCGTTATTCTTTAATATACTGATATATTAGACACGAATAATGATTTTGTTTTAATTTGTTTAGTATAATGCACCATTAACAATTTCAAAGTACAGATCATGTTATGAGTCCTCTCCTCAAAAACAGTTCTACAGAACATCTTGTAAGATTGATATGGCCGCAGATGATTTTTTCGAAAACTTTAATGACATCCAAAATGTGAGTAATACATACTTCATAGATTTATTTAAAAAAAATATAGTTTTCATGAATAGAAATGTAAAACGGATGATCACTGTAATCTCTGTTGTTCCTGGAAGGAGAAATGAGGTTGATGGCCTGTAAAGTTAATGCTTATTGTGTTGATACCTGACATTTAGACAAAGAATATATTCTTTGATTTAGACACCTCTGAACTTTTTTTTTCTCTCTAAAAGAAAGGGGAGAAACCTAAAAGGGTGGGTGTGATACACTTGTGCCGCTATGGTCAGAGATGCATTTTTTCCACTTCTAGATAAAACATAATAATGGCGACCGACAGTCCCCTCTTCAACAAAATGTTGTTTTTTTAAAAAAATTGAAATTGTGAATGTTTTTTTAGGGTAATGTTTGTATTTATACCTAAGAAGTGATAAAAAGAAATTGGAACTGAAACAAAGAATAACTTAAAAATATTTTTTTCTTAATTATTTGTATGTTGCGTAGTGCAGGGTAAAATTACTATCGCCACCAACAATGCTTTATATATTATTAATATCAATTTTTTTTAATCAATCAACGTTTCCAATTTCGAAAAAGTGACCTCATGTTGTAAGAAACGGCCATTGTTAAAAATGGTACTACTGGGTACTTGTACTTCCTTACTTTGCTCTATATAATGAAGGAGGAACATAAGGAGGGGAGATACTTCATAATAGGGTGCTGACACTACTTTCGCTTTTCAACTTAAAGCAATTCTAATAGGGTAAATACACCGAAGATTTATTACTATTATTAGTGAATATAACCTTTTTCTCGTTTTCTTGATGGCACAGGAAAACTACTCAATAATTACCAAGGGGTAAGTAACAAAAATATATTTAAATCTTTAACATGATTAATACGGTACAATGGTGGACAATGCTACTACTACATTACAATGTGATGTGCTTGCTTTTTTACAAAATCTTAGTTTGCAGTTACGGTTACAATCTAATGATAAACTCCGCCATCTATCGGTGGTTCAATAACATGTATTTCTACAAACTCCCCATCATGGACGGGGACGTCCATAATATCTAGTAAGATTAAAGGAAAAATGACAAATAGAAAGAAAAAAAATTAAAGTTCAACATGAATCAAATTTTTAAGCATTATTTAAAATTTCAAAAGGATATAACAGTTGAACGGGACGTCTGATCCGACTTCCATTAGTCCTTACGAGACAGCTCCGGACTTTGCCATCCCGTCCAGGGTAGACTTCTTCGATTACTCCAAGGCTCCAAAGTAATTTATTCTTTTGGGCTCCTTCGATCAAGACAACGTCCTGGACTTGAAGGTTCCGTTGATTTTCTGAAGTTGTCAACCGATGCGCAGTTTTTAAGAGAAGAACATACTGTTCTTTCCATTTGGTCCAAAAATTTTGTAAAAGTCTCATCTGGAACAGTTTCCTTTTGATTAAGGAAGAACGATTTGAGTGTTCAAAAAGAGTTCCGGTGTAATATAACGGAAGCTCGATTTTCTTCTGAGGCAATAAAAAATGAGCAGGAGTCAAAGGTTCGGGTTCATTTAAGTCAGAATAAACGAAGCTTAAAGGGCGTTGGTTTAACACTGATTCTATGTCTGTTAAGATTGTTGTTAATTCCTCAAAAGTAAGAAGAGATTTAGATAGGGTCTTGCGTAAGCATTCCTTCACCGATTTCACTAATCTCTCATAGAAACCTCCCCACCATGCAGCTCGTTCCATGATAAATTTCCACTTGATCCTTTTATTTGCTATAAAATTTTGAATCTTTGGATCTTGAATCAAGTTAAAAATGAGTTGAAGTTCTTTATTTGCGCTTTTAAAGGTTTTTGCATTATCGCTATACATGGTTTGGACAATTCCTCGTCTGGAAATAAACCTACTCAAGGCTAATATAAATTTTTCTGTACTTAGATTTGAAACTAATTCTAAGTGTAACGCTCTTGTTACTGCGCAAGTAAACAAACATGTATAGGCTTTTTCAGGAGTATTCAATGTTTTAGCATATATCGGACCTGCAAAGTCCACCCCGCAAGCTGAGAATGGTGGAGATTCTGAAACTTGATCTTTAGGTAGGGGACTGGTTTTTTGTTTAGCAGGTAGAGCTGAATATTTGCGACATATTATGCAATTCTTTATCATTTTCTTTATAAGATGCCGACCTGTAGCGATCCAAAACCGATTTCTGATTTTAGAAAGGGTGGCAGAAACACCACCATGAAATATTCCTTCGTGTTCATTTCTAATCAACAGTTCCGTAAATTTACATTTATTAGGAAGTAAGATAGGGTGTTTTTGTTCTAGATCAAATTCCGAATTTTCCAATCTCCCTCCTATTCTTAAAACCTTTTTATCATCCAAAAAGGGGGCAAAACTTCTAGTGGAAGAATTCTTGTCAATTTCTTTTCCACTTTCTAAGGCTGATATTTCGGAATGATAAGCTTTTCTTTGCTCTAGTTTTATCCAAAACTCTTCTGCTTCTTCAATTTCTGTGGATGTGAGTAGTCCCTTAGTGGTAGATTGTTTTCTTGTCTTTGAAATAAAACGTCTGATCCATGTTGTTATTCTCAAAAATTTTAAAAAGCAACTACGGTAGACAATTACTACTACTACATTACAATGAAGATGTTCTTGCTTTTTACAAAATCTTAGTTTGCAGTTACGGTTACAATCTAATGATAAACTCCGCCATCTATCGGTGGTTCAATAACAAGTATTTCTACAACTACTTTTTGATTAATTTAACTATACAGCATTTTTAATTTCATCATTTATCACCAAAACACTTTCAAATAATTGTGAATGATGAGTTTTTTGTATTCTTTTCGTTCAGGCACCCTGGTATAAAGAAACATCATCTCTCTATACAAATGAAAATGAATGGAATCTGAATCAAAAGAACTCAGAAAACAGTAAGCGAACGTATCTAATCTATCTATTATATTTTATAACTATTTTAATTTGTATGGGTTTTGAAGTTTGATTCATTTTTGATATAGTCGTAATTTTATAATAAAAAAAGCTCATTGAGGATTAAGTTAAAATTTTTTTTTACTTAACTTTATTTTCTGAGCCGTAATATAAAACTTGATGTAAACTTCTACGAGTTAAAAACTTTGCGTAAATCAGTTCAATACGTCCCTAGAAATACTAAAAGATTGATATTTTAGGAAAATAAATTGAATTAAATATGCATTTAACTTTACGCGTTAACACAAAATACATACTTACATCATAATGTAAAAATATTTTATCCACTATAATTCAAACAATGTATATTTTTATTGCTGTTATTTCCAGGCTAAATGCTTACTGTCACAAATAGTTACTCAGTTTGTTTCAGGTAATTTTTGTGCAAATGTGTCGGGAAACTGTGCAAATTCCTGTAACTATTTTTGATGATATGCCAAAAAGAAAGAAAAATAATAGATTATTGTATTCTTTGTAAATAGAGTTGGTGTCTCAAGTTTACGCAATTTCCCCGCTCTCTACATTTTTCCTCACTCTGCTACCCGGGTTTTAGGAAATCTTGCTTTTCTCTACTGTAGTACGTTTCAGTAAGAAGTTGGAATATACTACTACTTGCTGGAGAAAAGCAAGATATACCGAAACCAAGGTAAAGGAAAAGAGAAATCGCGTAATCTTGAGAACGCCTTTCCTTACAAAGAGTACATTCTTTCCTTACTGGCTGATCTAAGAGTGCAAATTTTAGAAAAATTGGTTTAAACTTTTATTTTTAAAAGAGCTAGATCAGGATTCCTTGGAAAATTCCTTTACTTATAAAGAGTACATTATTTCCTTACTGGCTGATCTAAGAGTGCAAATTTTAGAAAAATCGCTCTAAAACTTTATTTTTGAAAGAGCTAGATCAGGATTCGTTGGGAAAAAAATAGTATTAATTCTAATAAAGCCAGTTTTGATAATGTCTTACGTTATATTTTATTAAAATAAGTTAATTATCATTGCCAGTCTCATATTAAAGTTGGGTGAAAATCTAATCTAACAAGCTTTGAGTGCGATACAAAAGGTGCGAGTAGTTTGGTACAAAAAGAAAAGAAAGAAAAAACAGTAGTTTGTAGCGATTTCTGGCAACTACTTTTTACGTTAGTTTATCATATGAACAGGGTTGCACGCCACTGAACAAAATGCTTATTTCTTAATAGAAAAAACCGGACTTGTCGTAGTACAGACGAAAGATGGTAAACTCCTTATTACGAGATTCCAGGTTTACAACCTGTGTTATTTTAAAATTAATTATTAATTGTTTTTGCAATAATTTGTAGCAAATTTGAACTACATATGTTATAAATTCTTATTTACGATAATAGAAATTTTTTAGCCTTTATAAAAATTAAAATTATTAAGAATAAATTATTTAGTTTGATTTCATGCGTGTGCTCGCTGAATTCAAAACAGTATTAAGAAAACATAAGAAAAGTATTTTTAAATTTTTTAAAGCAAATCCTATGATATATTCTATTCTATTCAAAATGTTGAAACAGTGCTGTTAATTGATTTATTTCTCTTATTATCAAGAAGTGTTGACTTCAAACAATGGATGCAATCTTAAAAATAAGAAAAAGCTTTCAATTATCGACCCTAAGACTGGGAAGAATATTCTGGAAGGAATGGAAAACTCAACTGCATCCCAAACAAGCATTTCAAGCGTGAGTATCTATAGACAATAAACTCATCGCCTAAAATTGTTTTCTACAAAATTATTTAAACATAATTATTAAGTACTAAAATACTTTATTAGCTTATTCCAACATTCTATACCATCAGATTGAAGAACATGTTTTATTCTAAAAAAATTTTTATTCTTGAAACAAAGAAATGTATTTTTCGTCATAAAAAAAAAGTGTAATTTCATCTAATATTTAATATTATTATGCAAGGCTTTATAGATTTATATATTTTTTATTTAATAATGCAAGGTTTTATTTAGGAAAGGGTGCAAAATTAAGTGCATTGTTTTACTTAAAAGTTAAAAATATAAGTGATTTATAAAAATAAAAATTTAANGATTTTTCCTTAATTTATGATAACCAGTGTATTTTTTATTTAATAATGCAAGGCTTTATTTAGGAAAGGGTGCAAAATTAAGTGCATTGTTTTACTTAAAAGTTAAAAATATAAGTGATTTATAAAAATAAAAATACTAATGAAATGTTTTTTTTTTTTTAATTTTAAAGCATATATTATGCGTGATTTTGATGCGAAAATATTATGCATGTATATTGTCTTTTAATTACGAAAATATTATGCATGTATATTGTCTTTTAATTGCGCATGTATATTCTCTAGAATGTACTGTTCGGCCAAAGCAATGATTCTATAACACCTTTATCGATAAAATATTATTTCACTTGCCCTCTAATAAAGAAATCTTTCAAAATAAATTTCGGAGAAATGTGTTGTGGAAACTTTTAAAGTACCAAGAAACAATGCTAAGGAACAGTTTAATGCTGAAATGTCTCCTTTTGAAAAAATATGGTTTAACAAAAAAAAAATGCGCAAAGCCCTACAAATTGCGTGTTTCTATGCTGGTAAGAAACGTAGCTCCAATAAATCTTAATTCCTGTAAATTGAAAAAATTTTCTTAATTCAAAAATTCTTTTAATTCATTCAAATGAAATTGTACAAGTCAATTGATTCAAATCACTTGATAAATTTCGACTTACAGTTTTTATAATGTTTACATTATGCCTTCATTTTGAAAATAGAAAGAAAATGAATGTGAAGCCAGACACAGTGTTGAAGTCAATAGCTTAATGAACAACGAATGCAAAGACATAAAGCGGAATGTTGTGTCTGATGATGACTATCCGATGTTGACTACTGAGTCATCAAAACATCCCAGTGTTTTATCCTACAATCCTGATTCTTCAGATGATGAATTTATGAAAGAATACTCCGAATACAAACTGAAAGCATCCGAAAACTCATCTCAAAAACTTCAGTATGAAGAAAACGAAAAGGTAAATATTTACTTCGAGAAAAGAAAGTTTTGTGGAAAAGGTACACATTTTAAAAACAATTTTTTTTCTTCAGATTGTTAAAAGTAATTTTTCAATAGCTTATAAACCTAAGAAATAGAAATAAATTACTCTGTTTATAGTGTGTATTACAACTAACGTCTGCATTTAAAACATAGTTACGCTATATTGCTATTTCAGTTAGTAAATATGTTAATTAAAATTGAATGATAAAAAAGTTAATAACCACCACTTATTTTTTAAACTCATTATTTTTTTATTCAAAAATAACTAGTAATTTTAATCCATTATTTTGTAACATTGTTCGAAATACATTAAAATAGCTTTTTTAAAATGCAGCGATTCGTGTTTTTTTTTTTTTTTTTTTTTTTTTTTTTTTTTTTTTTTTTTTTTTTTTTTTTTTTNTTTTTTTTTTTTTTTTAAGTTGATGTTTAAAAAGAAAGTTAAATTATTTATTTCAAAAGCTATAGCAATCATCTTTTTTAAATTTATTTATACTCTATGATTATATTTATTTATATTCCATGATTTATTTATTTTGCAAATTCCATGTCTTTCTTGCAATATCCTAGAGAAATTCTGAAAAAAACACATTCTTTCGCTTAATTTTAAGATTTATTTTTTCTGAAATTAAGGAAAAATTATTACATGCGGATACAAAAGCATTCATAGTATTGTTTCTATCAATTTCTTCTTTTTAAAAACCTACAACTAAGTTTGAATCTGGACTCTTTATCGAAATTATATGTGATGCTGGAACTTTTACGTTAGCAATGTCGCCAAGCGAAGCGAATGACAAAACAGTCAACGGAATAAAAGTCGAAAACATTCAACTATAAACAAATATTTATTAATAGTATACAAAAGAAGTTCAACTATAAGTAAATATTAACGAATTGTTACGGATTAAAATCCCAAATTTTCATCATTTTTTTAAAACAAAAATTAAGATGGAAGAAAGAAAGGAAAACGTGCTTTGTTTTTAATGAATTCAAAGATTAAAGAATGTAGCCCCTAACAAACGTTCCCCTTATGGTTGCAAGAAATTTGGCGGAATTCCACATTATTTGGCAATTTTTCGCTTGCTCCCGGCTAACGGAAAAGTATCGTGATGGGTAAAGCTGCTTTTTTCTTGTTAGAATATGGACAAAAGTATTGGATTTTCGCCAGCTGGAGATCCAGGAACTATTCATCCTCCAACTGATAAAGAAAATACGGAAGAGAACGCCCGACAACCGAACGATAAAGCTGACTCTCAGCAATTAAATGGTAACGTTTAATACTTTTTCTGTTGTTGTTGTTTCTAATGTCACTTGCCACACTAGCAGGCCTGCTTGGTGAAACCGAGCAAATTTAAGGCAGAAGGAGCGTTTTTTGTTTTTCAGTGGCGCCATCTACGGCCAAAAATTCGTCTTCAGCCATACACATCACACCCGTTTATAGGGCGGACCCATTCATTCATCCACAGATCGTAATTTTTGAATTGGATCAGAGAACGATCGATCTCCAATCCAGTAGCCCCAGAGGTATCGATTTGTTATGGTAACATGGAGGACTTTGCGACTCGACAGATTTAACGTGCATCAGTCACTATTTACTACGCGGGGAGTCTCCGGCCGGCGTGGTTCGAACCCTCGAACATGGGCACAGCGCCTTATGGACCAGGCTATCCCGGCCGTAATACTCTTTCTAAATACAATAAGTGTTTTACACTGTGCTGACGTGAAATATCCTCAGTGGTAGATGCATCATGGGTTAGAGTCCCCTTGCCGTCAGGCTAACCGTGGAAGGTTCTCGTGGTCTTCCTCTCCATGTAACGCAAATGTGGGTTAGCTCTATCAAAAGTCCTCCGCGAAGGCAAATTTCTCCCAATACTCGATCCAGGAGTTCCCTTGTCTTCTGGATGGGGTTCAAAATTACAAGGCAACGGAGTTGAACATTAGAAGTCGTAAACCCAAAAATTGGGTCGGCTGTACAACGACGGTTATAAAATAAGTGTTTTAACGTTACCCACACTCCGCACTTTTTCCCTCTCTGATACCGCTGTTTCTGAAAATCTTACTATTCCTCCATGCAAGTATGCACGACCTTGTTACTGAAATGTAGCGTAGTGAAAAAGCACATTTATTGGGATCAAAGGGGTAAGCAGGGTGGGCCGCCCTTCACTGTGTGTCACTTCCACTTCAAACGCTTACTGTATATATATATATATATATGTAATACAAAAATTAAATACTTTTGTATTAATAAAAGCGTTAAAACTTCATTCCTTTTCATAAAATATCTTTAGTAAAAGATAAGGATAGAAGTTCTATTTTGGGACTTCAAGACTAAAAACATGCCAATGAATAATAATTAGATTTATACTTCAANAAAAAAAAAAAAAAAAAAAAAAAAAAAAAAACAAGTTTCTTCGCGCTAAATTGTAAAAAAAAGAACCACCCCAGAAAAAAAGGCAAAGGTGCTTAGATACTTAAATTTTAGGTTTATATTATTGTAAGTTGTTCTGCGAAATTGAATTATTGAAAGATAATTTTTAACTGAATGCAATTTTTATGTTGTGTATTTCAAGCAATAGGCAGGGTGTTAAATACGGTGAAATGATCTCGGGGCTTAATCATTACAAAACGCGTTTAACATAAAATATATTTAATAACAAACACGGATGATGGTGATGATACAGTGGCATGGAGGAAACAGATTACAATTAATGATATGATTTCACATTGCTGCGCAGAGCGCCATCTGTTTAGTTTTAGAAATTATTATTATTTACATAGAGAAATATTATTAACACAGGGCTTGATATTCGCTCAAAAGAATGCCCATTCACAGTTTTACATGTTTTTGTTCAAACTGTCGGCTTCTGATGTGAGGTAAATTGCAAAAGTTTTAATATATTTTTTACTTCTTTTTAATAATCATGAAAAATTCTTAAAGGAATCAAGCTTAACTTGATAATAAAACAGTACTACATAGCAAAATATAATTTATAAACATGATTTATTTCAAAACTTTAAGCTGTCGCAAAAAATATTAATCTATCGATCTCTTTGCTCAGGAAACTGGCTTTTCTCCCCCCCCCCCTCCCCAGGGCCGGATTACCCATTAGGCCAGACTTGGCCATGGCCTCGGGCCCCCAATAATTAAGGGCTCCCTTAAAAAAAAATCTTTGAAAATAAATTTAAAAAAATTAAGAAAAACAATCATTTTTAAAAAGAAATTCAATTTCAAATATACATTAATAAAATACGATAATTTTTTTAGTTCTAATTTAACAAAATAAAGTAAAATGTAATTTATTATTATTTATTTTTATTTAAAATTTACTTTCTTAATGGAAAGATATATAAATACTTTTATATTTGAATAAATAAAAAATATACGAGAAAAAAAATTTTATCTAANCACCCGCCAATTAAATAACTTTTCAAATCTGGAACTTAAGAAAAGAGAATTTCACAGTGCACAATTCATAGCTATAACGTCAGATGAGCGAACAATGACTGACTTTCTACCTTTGTTTATATTTTTAATTTAGAGAAATTGTAAAATACATTTCAAAATTATTACATGCAGATACAAAAGCATTCATAGCATTGTTTCTATCAATTTCTTCTTTTTTAAACCTGCAACTAAGTTTATATCTAAACTCTTTACTGAAATTATATGGGATACTGGTATTTTTCCGTTCGCAATGTCGCCAAGCGAAGCGAATGACAAAACAGTCGACGGAATAAAAGTCGAAAACGTTCAACTATAAACAAATATTTATTAAAAGTACACAAAAGAAGTTCAACTATCAACAAATATTAACGAATTGTTATGGATTAAAATCCCAAATTTTCATCGTTTTTTTAAAACAAAAATTAAGATGGAAGAAAGAAAGGAAAACGTGCTTTGTTTTGAATGAATTTAAAGATAAAAGAATGTGGCCCCTAACTAACGTTCCTCTTATGATTGCAAGAAATTAGGCGGAATTCTGCATTATTTGGGAATTTTTCGCTTGCTCCCGGGTAAAGGAAAAGTATCGTGATGGGTAAAGTTGCTTTTTTCTTGCTAGAATATGGACAAAAGTATTGGATTCTCGCCAGCTGGAGATCCAGGAACTATTCATCCTCCAACTGATAAAGGAAATGCAGAAGAGAACTCCCGACAACCGAACGATAAAGCTGACTCTCAGCAATTAAATGGTAACGTTTAATACTTTTTCTGTTGTTGTTGTTTCTAATGTCACTTGCCACACTATCAAGCCTGCTTGGTGAAATCGAGCAAATTTAAGGCAGAAGGTGCGTTTCTTGTTTTTCAGTGGCGCCATTTACCACCAAGAATTCGTCTTCAGCCACACACATCACACCCGTTTATAGGGCGGATCCATTCATTCATCCACAGATCGTAATTTTTGAATTGGATCAGAGAACGATAGATCTCCAATCCAGTAGCCCTAGAGGTATCGATTTGTTATGGGAACATGGAGGACTTTGCGACTCGACAGATTTAACGTGCATCAGTCACTATTTACTACGCGGGGAGTCTCCGGCCGGCGTGGTTCGAACCCTCGGACATAGGCCCCAGCGCCCTGCCGACCAGGCTATCCCGGCCGTAATACTCTTTCTAAATACAATAAGTGTTTTACACAGTTCTGACGTGAAATATCTTCAGTGGTAGACGGATCATGGGTTAGACTCCCCTTGTCGTCAGGCTAACCGTGGAAGGTTCTCGTGGTCTTCCTCTCCATGTAACGCAAATGCGGGTTATCTATATCAAAAGTCCTCCGCGAAGGCAAATTTCTCCCAATACTCGATCCGGGAGTTCCCTTGTTTTCTGGATTGGCTTGGGTTCAAAATTACAAGGCTACGGAGATGAATATTAGAAGTCGTAAACCCAAAAATTGGGTCGGCTGTTCAACGACGGTTATAAATTAAGTGTTTTAACGTTACCCACACTTCACACTTTTCCCCTCTCTGATACCGCTGTTTCTGAAAATCTTACTAACTATTTCTCCTTGCAAGTTTGTACCACCTTGTTACTGAAATGTAGCGTAGTGAAAAAGCGCATTTATTGGGATCAAAGGGGTAAGCAGGGTGGGCCGCCCTTCACTGTGTGTCACTTCCACTTCAAACGCTTACTGTATATATATATATATATATGTAATACAAAAATTAAATACTTTTGTATTAATAAAAGCGTTAAAACTTCATTCCTTTTCATAAAATATCTTTAGTAAAAGATAAGGATAGAAGTTCTATTTTGGGACTTCAAGACTAAAAACATGCCAATGAATAATAATTAGATTTATACTTCAAAAGAGAAGTTATTTTAAGATCTTTCACTTCCATATAAGGAAAGATTAAACGATTTGCTATGAGTAATAAATAAATTGATGAGGCGTAAGAATACAGAAAAAGGCATATGACTGGGCCNTCAGGAGATTTTTCATATACCTCCTATTTGTATTTATTTTTAACGTATTTCATTACAATGTATAATGTACGTTCGTGTATTAACCAATTAATACACGAACGTAAACAAGTGCAAACCGGTTTCAGCTGCGTAAAAACAATACAGCTGTATAGTATCATCTGATAATTAAGATTTTACATAGAATCTTATAGTGCGTCTAATAATTTGGCCAGGGATCGTATATATATACATATATATTTATTTCAGATTTGAGAGCAAAAGATCCAAGAAGTGGTGNTATCACCTGATAATTAAGATTTTACATAGAATCTTATAGTGCGTCTAATAATTTGGTCAGGGACCGTATATATATACATATATATTTATTTCAGATTTGAGAGCAAAAGATCCAAGAAGTGGTGTTCATGAAATAATCAGCTCAGAGGGCTGCAATGACACAAACCTGAAGGAAAAGATCCTGTTGTTGCGTGATAAAATTTATACTATGAAACAGGAGCAACAAAAAATGGCTATTTTGCAGAGTTTTCTGCGTTTCAAGAAACAGCAGTTGGACGAGAGTTTCCGAAGTTTGGATGATAAAAAAATGGATATCATTAATTGGGAATACAACTTGTACACCAAGGCTAAGAAACTGCACGAAAAAGAATACTGGATGACCATGAAAAGCCAAAATTTGAGGAAGAAAGAAAAACAACTGGAAGAGAAAGAAAAGTGGCTGGATCTTAGGGAAAACGAAATTAGAAATAAGTATAATAATGTACTTAAAAGAGAAGGAACAAATAATGCGTCACTAGAAAATGGCGAATTCCATGGAGACACAAAGTTAGAAAACAAATCATCGCCAACTAAAAACGCAATTGATATTAATGGCGAACAGGAAGGCAATAATTGTATCAATTCTTCTACCAAGGATGATGAAATCCTTCCACAAAAGTCCAAAGATCTCTCGTCTGGCGATATTTGCGAAATTCAGACCACTTCAGGAAAGTCACAGAAGTTTAAAGCAAGCGATTATTCCACAAGTTTAAATTATTCTAAAGTAAACAAGAAACCGATAAGTTTTGAAGGAAGAAAATATCTTCCAGAGCATGTCAAGCAATGGTTCAATCAGAGAGATAAAAATGCAAAAAAAGAAAACAAGCATTAATTTGCGTTGCATTTTTGAAGTCATGTGGACACATGCGCTTTGTTTCGTAAATAACCCATACGAGCTTTCCATTGTAGAAAAAAAGCGTTGCTTTTAGTAGAATGGCTTATATTAATATTATAACACGAGTGACAGAAGTTGTATCCTGCAAATAAAGCAGGGAAATATCTATCAGACAACAAAATTTGCTTGAAATAAGTGTTTCTTATTTGTAGGAAAGATACAAAAATTTCTTAAAATTGTGACATCTGTTAACAGATAGTTGTGGTTAAAAAAAAAATTTTTTTTCTTGATGTTTTTACAAAATTAAGAGAGGAAGAAAGAGAATTAAATTTGTTTGTATTACTTTTAAGTGAATAAAATTAAAATGGTTTGAATCCTGGATTATTTCCCTTTGTTTTTCAAATTACATAATATGTTGCAATTATTTCACACAAAATTAAGTCATTCAAATTAAATGTTACTTCTTAATTATAAATAAAATTTTAAAGTTGTTACTTACAAGTTATTGAAGATTTAAGTACTTGTATCTAGTATTTTATAAGAGTTTTAATGCAGTCAGCAATTAGGTTGCACCTGCTTTTTTTTCTTCTTCCTTTTTTGAAAAATTGATTAGCAATATTATGAAAGAATTGATAAGTTTCAATTTCAAACCTCGGTGTGTAATTATGTATGGCTAATTATATGTTTCTCTATTTACCACATTTTGTCAGCGAAGCTGTAAGCAGACTGAGCAACTCATATAGTAAAAAACTAAACTTATACCTAAAAATTTGAAAGAATTTAATCTTAATATTTTAGCAAGATTTGTTTACTAACATGTTCTTAAAAAATGCACTTGATGGAGAGCAGAGGCTTGTAAGCTTGATCCTGGCAGGCAGCCAAAATTAGACAATCCGGGTGCATGTGCAACAGGGTGAATTTTTTATTTGTTGTGGCCGAAAGTCCTCTTGTTGATTGTTGTGTAGAAGTTTCTAGAGTGGGGGTAACAGATCAGGCAGTGTCTCAGGTGCTGTTTGCGAACATGCCAGTCAATATTGTACTATATTGTCCCAAACGTACTTAACATTGGGACAATATATCCCATTAGTGATAAAAAATATTATAAGACACAATTTAGTTTTTGTTTTTATTATTTCATAACGGCAAATTCTGGTTTCTATAACTTCTAATAAGAATAAATAAATCGAAGCATTTATATTATTTTCATAATTTATTTCCATGCAATATATAGGTATTTTTACAAGACGACTGGGACATATTGTACCAGGACATTTCTGGGGAAAGTGGAAAACTTTAAACTTATAGTATACTTATTTTAACATATCAGCATTAACATAAACTGGTTTTCAAACTTGAGTTTTAATGCTGCAAAAGTCGGTTGAAAGGGTTAAAAGATAGAGAGCTGAAAAACAAGGCTAAGTGTTTGGGCATGTATGTTCTTCCAAAATAAACACAAATTTAAAAAAAATTCTCTTTGCAAAGTTTATCACCTACAGAGAGAATATTTTCCATTCTGGATTTTTGAATGCAGACATAAAGTTCTATAGTAATACCACTGCTAATTGGTACTACAGAGTTAAAAGTGATAATAGCTTTATGAGATTTTTTTTCACAAGCATTTTAAAAATGGATTGTGTAATGAGTAAATCTACTTTTTTAAATCAATGAAGAATAATTGTTTGCATTTAGAAACACAACTGATGCAAAATATAAAAAATATTGACAAGATCGAAATTTTTAAAAAATATATATAAAGTGATAGTATATGTGAATATATGCTTTAGAAATTTTTTCTCTACTAACATCTTCCCGTATTTCATAAGTTTTGTAGTTAAGTAGAAGGTAAAAAATACAAAATTATAAATTTATAGAATGGAAAAAAATGTATTACAAACAGATAAAAAATATAAAATAAATAGAAAATGGTACTATCATGCTTTGATATTATTAATAGTCTTTTTTTTTCTACAAGAATTCAAAGTTTAATTTAAATCAAATACAGATTTGGAGGCCTGTATTTAGAACTTCCCGTTACACAAATTACCAAAAAGGAAAATTTTGAATTTAAAAAAAAACTTTATTGTCTTCAATATGTGCAGCTAATAATTAATATTGCAATAATATCTTTTTAATCTTTTGTGTACAATGCTTAGCATGTTAAAGCCTGTAATCTAATTAATCTGCTACCACAGCAATAAAAAAGATAAACATCATATGTGTAATTAAATTAATGAATAAGAAATAACAAAAATAGTACTATTTTTCCTTCTGTAATAGTAAAAAAAAAATTTTTAAATTTAAATAAAACCAGTCAACCTGTCGATCAAGTAAAAAAATATATTTAAAGTGGTAGTACATTTCATGTTTGGTCCAATAAATTTGATTTACAATAATTATGATCACTATATGCAATTAATTTAAACAAACAGATAAAACCTAGAAATCAGGCAGAGAAGCCTTTGACAAAATCATACAATTAAAAATCATTTTGATTGTTATTTTGCCATCGCTGTGTGGATGTCAGGTTGGTACTTATGTTCCATAATGTCATGAAAACCAGGATTGTGAGTAAAAAGAGTGGAAATTTTTCCTATCTAAACCAATTTTTCCTATCTAAACAATTTTTGCTAAAATAATTCAAATTACATAGTGACACATACCAAAAAAGGCAACAAGATAATATTTAAGTATTTTATTCAGTTTTTTACATATTACTTATTTAATTATAAAAAAACATAAGAACTTAAGTCATTTTGCACACTCAGTATCAGACACTCGTAGGTAGGTGAAAAAAATAATCAGTAAAAATATTTTCATTTTCAATAATGTATAATAAAAGCCATTTTTTCCAGCGTAACATAATTGAGCTATTATTTTTGTTACAAATGCACATTAAGAGCAAAATATAAACTAATAGTAATTTTAGTAAGAATATAAATATCCTCTCTTTATATTGAGAATTCAATATAGAAATTTTTTTCACAAATTGATTAAAGTTAGCTTTATAAACTTTAAATATCCCTAAATACCTTGATATACCAAACTGATCCAGAAAGCAAGTACCTTTTGTGCAGAGGTGTTCCACCATTGCACCTTTTAACTACAAAATAAATTAGCATAGCTATTTTGTTTGAATAAAACTAACCTCAGTTACACAACAGCCCATGAAGGGCCAAGGCCTACTAAGCTCATTTGTCTTCTTATTCCATCTGTTTCCTAATTTCAAGAAACTTTCTTTATTAGCCAACACTTTGCAAGTTACAAAAAGATCAAGGTAAACATGCAGAACTGGTATCATTTTGCAGGTGGCCAAACTCCACAAAGTGGATATGTTGAAATTCGTGCTAAGATATGAAACATCCTTTAATTTGCAAGGTGAGCGTGTCTAAAATTCGCTTAAAGTGTGCAGATTTTATGTTATAAAATACAACAGAAAACAAATAGCCAATCTTTTTTAATACCCAAATAGTGTTTACTTTCTGAATCAGCTTTGTAAAAAAAATTAATATATTTACACCATTTCTGAAATAATTAAAAAAAAAAAAAAAAAAAAAAGATCTGGCTTGTATGGTTGCACATTATCACATCTATATTAAAATGTCATCTATATTCAAACGATTACTGATAACTTCATCCAATTCTTGTTTAAGTTCATCCCATAAAAGTTTAGCTTTATGACTTCCCTAAAAAGAAAAGAAAAAAAACAATTTAATTGTTTTTAATATCTAACTTCAACATTTTTAACACAAACAACTAAATAATAATCACAAAAATTTAGTTTTTTCTTGGTCTCCAAAACTCAACAATTGTTTTTAGTTTTGTGTTAGAAAAAATACATGAATATAAATAGCGGAATTCACTTGACTATCTAATAACCAAAAAGTAACAAGAATTTATCTTCAATCAAACTTTTGACCACTTCTTAACAAGCTTAAGTGTTTAAATCTCAGCTAAAACTATGACATGAACATGAATACAAGTTTTGAAAACATGAAACAAATATGACATGAATACAAGTTTTAATTGCTTCTTTACTGCTACAAGCAAACTTTATCACACATTTCATTGCAAAGAATAATTCTGACTACTTTTGATATGAACTTGCATACACAAAATTAAAAAGAAGAAAAAAAATATAATTAATTTCTTAAAAAGTAAATTTTTCAGATGGATTCAAAAGGAATTTCTTTCATAATTAACTTCCATCATTACGGAAAACCTCTTTCCCACATTTTGAAAGCAATGAGTTCTGCATTTCTCATTTTAAGGGAAACAATAACACAATTATTTTCTCCCTTACAACCAACTTGAAAAATGTAGTTTTTAAAATTACTCTATTACCTTTAAAATCACTGAATTACTGTTTATCTGTTTAGCTACATCTAGAATCATGTATTTATATCAAACTTTTTCATATATTAATTTTGCACAGAAATTTTTTTTTTAAGTTTAAATAAACATCCTTGTAGATAGTTATTGTAGATTATCGAATTATTTCTATATCATTGAAAATATTCTAAAAAAAATTTACGGTGTTAAACTTTGTTATTAGGGTACCCTTCCCATAAATTGACAATTTGAGTCCAAAGAGTGTTCACTTAACTGAGGTTCCACTGTACTTATTTTCAAACAATTTCTTAATTAATACAATTATTTGTAGTACATTTCTGATCAGGCATATCCTTGCTCTTACAAAACAAATTTTTAAAGAAAAAACAACAATAATAATCATCACTATGCAGAAAGTGCAATTAATGTTAAAGGCTCAGAAAATATTGAATTACTACAGAAAATACTTAACCGATGTTTTAAAAAATTATTCGCTTTAATTTAATTATTTTTTTAGATTATTTAGACGGCTTATGAAAAATTTAATTTTTTTGCCGAACATTTAACTTTAACAGTAAATGAACAAGTGAATTTTGAATTTTAAAAAAACATGTTGAAATTTGCACCATTTCAAGAGAAACAAACAATTCTGAAACTGGATTTAGCAATTTCTGAAGGGAAAAAAAAGCTGAGTTAAAGTAGCCATTTTAACACATAATCTGTAGGTATAACACCTATTAAACGCTTCTTAAAAATAACAAAAATCATGCAAATACAACAACAGGTTAAGATACGCTTATAAGTTTTATTTTACCTCTCTGGCAACAATGCAATGGAAGATCCCAGATACCATTTTCTCAAGAGTGTCAGAGGATATGTGTGGTTCTAGCAAAATTTTTAAAATATGAAGGTTTTTCTGATCATTTTTTACTAGTGGATAGACAATTTCACCCACATTATTCCATATTAAAGGAGTGTCTACGGCAAGATTTTTGCATTTTTCTACAACACCTGAAAACCTAAAAAAACAATAATTACTAATCAAAATTTAAATAAGAGATACATTAATATAAATACAATTAAGATATGTAACAAGAATTATAGTGGTTACGGCTTTACTAATCTTTAATTTAAAAGTAAGATAGACAACAAAAGTAATTATTTTTTCCCTTTATATGAAGAAATTCATTAAATTAAGGGTGTCAGAGTACTTTGTACTTTGAAGATTATGGACGCTGCCTCTAATAATTCAAATTTGCACATAAATCATGCATTCATAAAGCCTATCAATTAACTGCAACTGAATATTAACTTCAAAAGCATAGACTCTGCATACCCAATTATAAGTGTCACTAAAACATGATATAATACATTTATTTAAACATTTAATGCACTGCTAAAAGCTACTACCACACCAGATATTATAGACATTTATTCTAGATAACAAACAGCAAAATTTTGAAATTAAATAAACACCAAAAGTTTTTATTCTGAGAAGAAAAAAAAATTTAATTTTCAACAGCAATGTTATTTTAGGTAAATTTAGTTCTAGTTTGAAAGGATTTCATTAGTTAGCTTAGTTTCTCCAATGATGAAAAGTTAATTTTCAAGGGTAAAAAAATGGTTTTCCAAACGGGAAAGCTGATGTTTCGTGGTAAGAGATATTTTGCAGGGGATGAAGCCTCCTAGTAATAAAATAAAGTAAAGTGGTTTTTCAAACAAAATCTTATACAAAAACAAAATGATAGAGAAGACAGAGATAAAAAAGAAAATAATGAAACAAAAGTCAGAAAAATCTGCAGGATGCTTCAAGGCTGTAGAACCGAAGAAAAAGACAAGCTATTCAAAGGGAGAAAAATCCCTTTCCCTGTCTTTGCTCTTTTTTCCTCTTCTACAATAGTTAATAAAAAATAAGAGATCACATCCGAATTTAATGAAAAATAATAATATGCATTATTTTCTAACTATAATCACATAAAAACATTGACATTTAACGATATTTATATTTTGGGTTAAAAAATTAAAGCAGAAAATAAGGGAAAACAATAATATGCGTTATTTATTAACTATAATTGCATAAAAACATTGACACTTAAGCATATTGATATTTTGGGTTAAGAAATGAACTTCCTATAGCTTACTCATTACTACTGTAGCTCACTGCTATAATCAGCTCACTAATGGATTTGAAGAGAACATTTTAAATTATACAAATTTAAATCAACAGCCTAAATAAGCTTTTAAGTTATAAAATATTAAATCAAAAATATTTTATTCTTGAGAAATTTTCTCTGAAACCTTGATCCCTTAAAAGGCATGCTCAATAAAGTTTCTTTTAATAAATATATGTATTGCTAAATCATTATTTCGTTTGTACAATTTACTTGTGGTTGTCCCATTTAAATTTGCACTTGACTATTACAATTAAATAAAATATGTTTTTAGAGATCAGCAGGCTCCAAAAATTTTAAGATATAAATTATGATATACACTAAACTTAGCTACATGTTCTGGTTAACTTACATGTTCTTTTAGCATCCTTTGAATGTAGAATTTATATATATGACTTTTTTTATAAAGAGCTTTCTAATTTCAAAAAAACACATTAGAATGAGCAAATAAAAAACACCCTGAATAACTTTTGATATAATGATCAGATTTTCACTGACTAAGACTCAATCTTAACAGTTTAAGGAATTAACCTTAAATATGCAAATTAATTAGTGCAGACAATATTTTGCGTTACAAAATCAGACACAAAATATACTTTCTCCAAATAAACATACCTTTTCTCAATGGATTCAGATTTTTGATTCTCAAAATAGTCACAATTTGGAAAATTTGGTTCTGATAGTTCAGGGAAACTATTAAAAGTTTAGACTCCTTAATGTTAATTTAACTTTTAGCATATTTTGTCATATCTTGAGAACTCTTTAATAATTAAAAAAAATTGTGCACACAATCATCAAATTTGTTTATCCAAAGATATTATCATGTAAAATATTATTCTAAAAAATTATTTATTATTTTTTGTATTATTTAATAATAGTCAAAAAAATTTGTATTGTATGATATACAAATTTTTACATCATTTTTAGGAATGTAATATCAAATGGCAAAATGTAAAATCGGTTGAATAATTCTTGATAATTCACTTTTGACCATTAACCTACAAAATGATTCAGATTTAGTCTTAATTCGTGATAATCTGAGTCAATGAAAGCATTATTTTTTTTTTATTTTGAGCACAGTAGAATCATTTGAAAGTCTAAGTGAAAATAAATGTAAAATGTCTAACACAGGCAAGGTTGACTAGCTTTAACCCAATGGGGTTTTTCAACAACAACAAAAAATAAATAAATAAACAATAATTTATTATTTTGCCCTAAAATCTTAGTTTTTTTTTCCATTTTATTGCAAAGAAAGAAAGTTGCCTTTGAAAAGAAAGTTACACAATACACTGCAATGAGATTTAATACTATAGAACTTAAACTTCATCATTTAAGAACTCTTTAAGTTTAAAGTTTGTTTCAAAAACATCTAGAAGTTACAAATAAGTAAATCTATAAATTGTTTTAGTTCATTTTATTTTATTTTATAATGGTTAGCCGACCCAATTTTTTTGGTTTACCACTACTAATGTTCGGCTCCATAGTCTAATAATTTTGAACCCAATCCAGAAGACAAAGGAACTCCTGGATCAAGTATTAGGAGAAATTTACCTTCTTTGAGGACTTTTTGATGAAACTAACCCGTATTTGCATAACATGGAGAGGAAAACTTCCCCTGCATTAGCCTGACAGCAAGGGGACTCTAACGCATGATCTATCAACCACTGAGGATATTTTAGGTCAGCACTGTGGTCGGTGCAAGCCAGGTACGGAAATTGTATTGACCAGCCATTGCTGGGATTTGAACACGGTTCACCTCATTTTAAAGCGAACGCTCAATTCTCTGAGCCATCACAGCTTGTTTTAGTTCATTGCGGTCATAAAAAATGTAAGACTTACCCATCTTTGTACTGATCAATTTTAACAAATTTTTTTTTCACTAATTGAAATAGCAATTCGCCAACTGAATCTCTATTCTGAGGATTTCCTTCCAGAACTAAGCAAATAGAGGAATTTATGAAATCAACCACTCTGTTAGGAAGCAGTGAGCTCACATACTGACAGATTGGCTAAAAATAAATAAAATCATATTTAATATAGCTATAAATTTACTTATTCAAACCAAAAAAAAAAAAAAAAAAGCACTTAAACACTGTGAAATTCCTATTTAAGTGGATAAGCTATGTAAGTAAGGCTTCAAGAGTTACAGAAAAATCGATAACACTTCCATTATCAGCTTAGAGATTAATTAAATGTTATACTTTTTAATCTGACAACCATTTCTAAAATCTTTTCAAGCTACTAAGTTTTATTACTTATTCTTCTCTTGAGAAAGGTTAATAAGATATCTGTGAGTGTTGTTCTTTTTAAATAATTTATAACTTGATTTAATATATTATATTAAATGAAACGACCCTAAAAAAATGAAAATTAATGTGTTTATATACACATAAATAAGCTTAAGTTGTTTTTGAAACAACTGAATATATAAAATTTTGATTACATGGGAAAAACAATAGATTGAAAAAAAAATTTTAATGAACAGTGAGCAAAAAAAAAAAGGAAAACTCTGAATACCTTTTTAACTATTGATCATATTTTCACAAACTAGGACTCAATAGCTTAACCTTAAATATGCTAATTAATTTGTACAGACGATATTTTTAGTTAGGACATCAGACACAAAAACTTACTTTCTCTGAATAATCATATCAAAAACCAGAGTCCATCAATAAAAAGGCTTTTATTGATGCACTCGGAGTTTTGATCTTCAAAATAAGAGTAGCCACAATCTGGAAAATATGATCCCAATAGTCTGGTGATTAGAACAGTTAAAAGTTTGGACCCCTTGTTGTAAACTTTTTTTTGTTTCATTTTTGCGTTCATAGCTCAAGAAATAACGAGGCTAGTAAAAAAGTTTTTGTATGTTATACAACTGTTTGCTATTATTTATTTTAATAATAGTCGAAAAAAATTTCAATTGTAAAGTACAAAATTTTTTAACTAATTTAATCTATGTAATATTGACTCACAAAATCGAAAATTTGAAGAAAAAAAACTTTAATAGTTTTTGAAAAATAAAAATTAGACTTATCTCAGATGGAGAAATATACGAAAGAAAAAATTAACACTAAGTGGCCCAAAGTTTCAGAAGTTCTCTTGCTCTATTGGGGCTACATTTTCCTGATTGCGGCTACCTCTCATATTTTGAGGCTCACAAATCTGTGGAAAAAAAGTACATTTATTCAGAGAAAGTACACTTATGAGTTTGATTTGGTAGCTTAAAATAACATACGTACTAAATAATTAGCATGTTTAAGATTGGGCTCTCAAAACATTTTCATTTAGATAAAGTCCTATTATTTGAAAATTCAATCATTTGATAAAAAGTTATTCATGGCGCTTACTTTTTTGTTTACGCACTTTACTAAAAGTTAAAACAGGGTTAAGTTTTTTTTAAAATAACTTCAAATAGAATCCTTTTTTGGGCCATGGTAATTTTATATGATAAACTATTTAAGGCAAAGCGGTAAGAAAATTAAGAAAAACTAATAAATTTTCAGAAGACAAAAAACTTAAATTTTACTAAAATGATGAAGTTACAAAAAATAGAAACAATTTTCAGAAACAAAATTGACTTTAAATATGCTTACTTCAAGATCTTTGTTTTCTAAGAAGTTTTCTATAAGGTGCTTGCTTCCTGTTTCGACTTGGTCTGCAATAGAACTAATTTTTAATCTTAATTCTATAAGAAACTCAATTGGCTTAATGAACATAAACAAAATACAACTAAATCAATCACAATTAATAAAAACATATAACTTTAAATCAACATATAAGACTATGCATATACAGTCAAACCCCGCTATAGTGAACCTTCAAGGGACCGAAATTTAGATTCACTATAACCGGGAGTTCACTATATCCGTTATGCAGGCAATTTCACTAATGGTTCCCAAACTCCTCCCTTTTATTACATTATATTCATATAAATGACTGAAAAATATTATGTAGTAGCAAAAAATGTGTTATTTTTCATCACTCTTCGTCTTGCGTACAAATAAAAATTAGCTGATGAGCAATCCTCAACATCAGATATGGAAACCATTCCCGACTCTCAGATAATTTTTCCTGAATTTCTGTTATTCCGCTTTTTAAACCTGTCTAACCTGCCCTTTGAGCACATAAAAGTTGTTTCTATAGATGGTTTTAAAAATCGGTATATGTATTTATTTTGAAGTAGAAATTTCAAAATTATTACAAAGAAAATGGGAGGGGGGAATCAGTCGAAGACAGAAAAAAAGTTCATTATATCCAACTTCCTCACTTTTTTGGTTCACTATATCCACTAAAAATAACATTATGCGTGTATAGCAAGGCACGGGATCCAGCATTTCGTTCACTATATCCGGGAGTTCACTATAAGCCGTGATCACTATAGCGGGGTTTGACTGTATTTTAATACTTGGAACTAAGTAAATTAATTAAATATTTTAGAAATCAATCTTCATTACATTTTCAAAATGATAAATTAATATTTTAATTTATCATTATTCATTTTTTTTTTAAGTGTAATCATCACTTCAAAAAAAAATGAATAAATTAAAAGCTTCAAAGAGTGACTTTAAAACAATATATGTCTAGCCTAAGAGTACAATTAAAAGAAGATCAAGGTTAGGAGTTTCAAAATGCAAAATTTTAAAATTATATCGATTTGTGAATAAGCGCAATCAATTATCCAAAAACACCTGGCACTTAAAAAAATAATTTGCATATATTTTTTTTTTGAGATTTTGTACTCCAAAAACCGATATCTGAACACCTAAGGAGAAAACTACATCATTAATTTATTACGAAAAATCATTAATTTATTACACTGCCTTGTATAAGGTAAAATTACCAAATTTTGTTAATAACCAGTGCCCAGTAGAAACATTTTAATAGTGACTAATTTTTAAATCATGTGCCTACTTTTTTAAAAAATTGAAATTCTAAACTATAGATATCATTAATATAAAGCATTTTCTTCTGAACTTTCCCGAAATACGGTAAACACAACAAGGTTCTTTTTTTAAAATGAAGAAAAACTTCCCCAACATCTCTATGCAGGTTTGCATAAAATTAAATTATTATTAAAAACCTTTCCTCCTAATAATATTTAGCATTAGAGTTTTTAACCAATAATACAAAATAACATTTATGGTAGTTAACAAAGTTTATTCATTACAAAATAAATCTTAAATAACTATAATCATAATGATGAAATTATATTAATTTGATTACTTTTAAATATTAAAAAATGTAATATGGAACTAACTTGAACTTGAATGAAATCTTTATTAATCGAATTTAGTGAAATTCCTGAAACTTTGAATCAATGTAAAATAACCTTAATTATTATTATTATTTGTGGTATGGTATATAAGATTTAAAAAAATGTTAAATGATGATTTAACGTCTAACAGAAAATTAATAGAACTCAACATAGTAAGGTTTTTCAAGATATTTTAACAAATATTACCTGAATTATTTTGTTTGCTATGGGAAATTCTGTTACGTTGAACATTATCACCTCCTTCAAGCAGAGCTTCACTATGTATTTCTTTTATTGTTTTTGGAATGATTTCCTCTCTTCTTAAAATCCAGTTATTCTACTTAGAAGTAAATGATAAGTATTAATTTTGACATGTAATCCAACTAGAATTAAAATGCACAATAAAATACATAAAGCCAAACAGTGATGTGAATTTGTCAGCATATTTAAAGATAGTCACAAGTTTATTGATTCAGCAGATTTTACAATAAAAAAAAAATCCTTTACTACAAAAATTACTGAAATTGATTGTTAAATAAATCTAATAATTAAAGCGATAACTGAAATACCATCCTCATCATCTTCATAGTTTATCAGACAGCCCAATGTGGGCCAAGGCCTTACTCTGAAAATTTCTCTATAACGACTACCGATTTAGCTTTGATCTCCAATTCTTTTCATTAATTGCAAGAAAATCAGATTCCACCCAATCAACCCATCTCAACCCACGCCTTACCTCCCTTCCAGACGGTCTAAAAAGCAATATCTTTTTTATTTTATTGTCATCACTCATTCTAATCACGAGGGCCATCCAATTCCAATAGTTTATAATCTTGTGATACATATAATATTGTGATGCAATTTCCCTCCAGTTTTGTCATTGTCCAAGCTTCGGAAGCATAAGTCAAGACCGGCCTGATAAGAGTTTTGTAAATTAAGAGCTTTGTTTTTTTAGAAAGAAACCTTGATTTAATAGATCTTCTCTGTCCATAGGCAGCCCTATTTGCCAGATAGAGTCGATTTTTTATTTCAGGAGACATTCTGTTGTCAATAGTAATAATTAATCCTAAGTAAGTAAAAGTCCTTACTGTTTCAAATCTATAAGAATCTATTTCAAGATAGGGGTCTGGGACTCTGTTTCTTGAGAATAACATTTATTTTGCTTTCGCGACATTTATGAATAAGCCCATTTGCATTGCAACCACCCCAAGGGCAAGCAGGGGTCTGTCCAGACATTTTTTGAAAGATCCTGTTTTCGTAAAATTGTGGAAAAACTACTCATAATTAGTGAATATAAAATAAAAGTTAAGTCACATTCCTTCAGTCAGGGTCCTGCTTTTGTGAATTTGTGCAAATAGGGTCCTGTTACTGCAAAAATTGCTAAAAACCTTCTCAAGCAGTTCTTAAATTGTAAATAGATACAAGATTCAGCTCAACAATTGCTGTTACTAAATTAGAGATGCAACATACAAATATCTGGTACTTAGCCTATACTGTTCAACACAGAATGTTAATTTCGGACGAATAATGGAAACAAA